CATGAGTTCAAAAGTAGCATCACAAATTGCCTTTGAACAAAGGTTTCTATCCTCCTTTGGGAGACAAATTTATGGCAATAAATCCTCTACTTTAGAGTTTAGTTGTCGTCACGATAGATGTTCAGAGATCGAATTAGTGAACATAGCCTTCCTTCTTCAACTCATTTAAGAGAAAAAAAATTATTTAGAGAATGGAGATTTTCTCTACTTAAGATTTGGATACGAACTTGATCAAACTTATTATTGAGTATGCAACAAAATTAAATATGCTCTCTTTACACAAATCACTTGAGAGTCACTGCATAATCTCAACAAACCATGTTGAAATCAAGATAATGATTTAGTTTAGGATAATTAAATGTTATGGCAAAAAAATATTCAATGACAGAGTAACGCTCTGTAAATTGCTATAATAAAGATGAAGATGATGGATGAGGGAGCAGAATCAAGTGAGAAGTAGCACGCAAGGAAGGAAAATAGCATGAGTTGGTACGAGCAGGACCTCGAGTAGGAGTTGGAGTGCTAGCTAGGGCGGCATTCAAGAGTGTAACTGATGGGGAAGGAGAAAGCGGGAGATCCAGAGAGCGTCCACAGCTATTGCCATACAGGCCCAAACTAACAAAAGCTGACTTGCAAGTGGGAGCAACAAGCGATTGGCATGGTGTGCAGGCTTGAGTAGTGAGCAGTTCCAGGAAATCAATTGAGTTGTGTGTTGCTCGAGCAATGGCTTGGCAAGAAGAAGATTCGAGCTGATCGAACAGTAGCAAGGATTGATTCAAATAGATCATTGCATGCGCAATTAAACCAAAGGAAGAGAGATCAAGAGTAAACATGAGAGTTGTGTTGTCGAGGGATATTTTGCTAGAGGACAAAATATCAAGATTAGGTTGCTTGTAAAACTTCAATTAATATTTGCAATTTATATGAAATTTTGATAATTATTTAAACATTATCAAGCTTAAGTAAGAACAATTTGAATGCTAAAGAAAGAAATTTTAGCTTTATATGTATAAAAAAAATACAAAGATATTAATTAAAATTTAGTGAGAAAAATGTTAAGAATAAATATTATATGTCATTATGAAATATTAAAGCTTCATATGTTTTAAACCAAAAACTATTTAAGATAGTAAAAAACTAAATTAAAAAAGAAACAAATTTCCAATATTTTAGAAAATTAGATTGTTGAAAGAAAATTAAAATATAATGGTTATACAATGTATAGACATATATATTTACATTATATGACAAAATTTATTAATGAAATTTAAAAGATAAATTAATTTTAAATGAAAGATAATTTAATTTTAAATGATTGATTTATATTAGGAAAAAGAGAAGAATAAATTTATTAATTAAAAATAAATAACAAATATAAGAATAAGCTTAAATGCAAAATTTTATGTCTCTAGAATACTAACTGAAATTTTAGAAACGTTAATGTTGTGGTGTAAATGAAGTGTAATATAGCTAAAGTACAAAAAATATAAAACTTAGGAATTTGACTTTGAACTCGAATGAAAAGTATTTAACAAGAAATTTATAGATTAATATTAGTTAGAAATAAAGAGATTAACTAAATATAAAATTAATGTTTTCTATAGGCACCAAAACTAAAGCTGACAAATATTAAAGAGAAAAAAAAAACCGACAATTAAATCTTGAAAATGAGGAGTGCCCCTATTTTCAACATACAGTAATATTATTTATTTTTTGAAAACCAAATATATTAAGTAATTATAAGTTATTTAGATTGATTGTCATAAAAAATTATTTATGATTTACCAATTCTATTGAATGATTTGGTCATATTGAAATGAATAATAGATATTTAAATTTATTTATTATATAACGATTATTATAGAAATATTTTGAATGATATGAACATATGAATGAAATTCACTATATAAAATAAACGTACACAAGTTGGCAGTTGAAGTTTACTTTCTTATAATACCAGCCAGACACACTAGGATACTCGTGCACAAAAACTAGAAAAGATCTTGATATTAATGTATATTAAATGATATATTTTAGACGATGCTCCTGAGATGAATACAATGATATAGATAAAATAAGTCTTTATTCAGTATAATATAATACTTTGAAACTTCTTCGATCATCATTTTTTAATATATAAACTATCACATAATTTTACACTAACTAATAGTAATTGACAAGCAAGTATGAGTATCAAAAATTGACTCGACACACCAACTCGACCCGAACCCAGCTAAAAATTTGGGTTTGGTTTTCGAGTTGAGTTCCAGTTAAAATCCTAACCCGTTTAAATTTTTAGATCAGGTTCGGGTTGACTGGCAACCCGAAAAATGACTTGAAAATGACCTGCAAACCTTGAACTGACTCAAAATTAATATAATTTGACCTGAGATTGAACTATTCTTGACATGAACGGTTGTTATTTCTTACGTTAAATAGGTTACAAGGGTTGAGTTTGAGTTGACGGGGAAGGCAGGTCGTGGTCGAGTTGGACTTTCTGACCTATTTAAATATTTACACAAGTTAACGTCAATTTGTTTCGAATCGGGTCAATTTCAAGTCAGACTCAAATCAGACCCGCAAACTTGATTTGACACCCCTGCAAACAAGCATAAGTTTTATATTTCTTTTATTTAACTATAACTTTAGAGATATGAATATTCACTAAAATTATGATAACTCGCAGTAAATTAAACTAACATTATAATTTTAAGCCTTAGATTACAAAATGAGTAAAAGGAGAGAAATCGTTTATAAAAATACAGTTAAGCGAGAGCATGGTAATTGTAATCACAACTATCTTATATTTTGTGTTAGAAAATTGAAATTTATTTTTCGATGACCCTTTCAATTTAATGAATATTATTCAATGATAGAAATTAAAATTTAAAATTTTTGTCCAACCATTTATTCCCGTCTTGGAAATTTCAAGTTCTCAAACCCGATCATAACAAACAGTAATACTACATTACTTGAAAGAGGAAAGTTTCAATTTGATCTCATAAATAATTAGAGGAACATTATTAGCCTTTTAGTTGTAATATTACATTACTTGAAAGAGGAATGTTTCAATTTTATTTTGTAAAAATAATATGTGCAGCATTATTAGCTTTTTAATAGCATTTTTGAAATCATCTCAAATTTCTTTTGCAGTAATTAGAAACATATATGGTTCATTAATTTTCTACATTCTAGTATTTTATAATAATGCCATGAACATAGAATCAATTTCTTCCTAAAGTTTGAATTTTGTCTCTGTCAGTTCTTGAGATAGATCCACAGGATGTTGCATTTCTTTTTAAAAGGTCTTCGCGATTTAGGGTCACTTCAAATAATTCCTCCAATTTAAGTGAAATAAAACGAAGTCACTGGAGTTCTACTTTAGTCTAATTTTCACCATGCATAATGATTGGCTACTCAGAAAAGTAGTAAGCAGTAATTAGAAACATATATGGTTCATTAATTTTTCTACATTCTAGTATTTTGTAATAATGCCATGAACATAGAATCCCTAAAGTTTGAATTTTGTGTTTGTCAGTTCTTGAGATAGATCCACAGGATGTTGCATTTCAATTTAAAAGGTCTTCGCGATTTAGGGTCACTTCAAATAGTTCCTACAATTCAAGTGAAATGAAGTGAAGTCACTGGAGTTCTACTTTAGTCTAATTTTCACCATGCATAATGATTGGCTACTCAGAAAGGTAGTAAAAAACAGACATAATGAATGAAAAAAAGAGCTCTAATGAGAAAGAGAAGGCATAAGAAGTAAGGAGAATAAAGAAATGAAGCAAAGAAAAATTAACATTGTAAACCATATACAAAAGAACAAGTGGCTAAAGAAACTTGGATTGTTTATTCTTTCAGTAAGTACTTATACAATAACATAGAAAAAAAATCCAATAAATAATTACAATAATAAACATAAAAAAACTATCCCTAGTTATCCATTGTTTGATCTATTCAGATATTGTCGATTAATGCTAAGGAAACAATCAATGGGCTCATTCTTTACATATAAATCCATGGGAGGAGTACTTTCTTGTAATTAATGAATTTGTGGCCTCTGATTTTCTTATGTAGCACTATCTTGATAAATTGGCCCTTCAATAGTATCTATCAATCATCATTTCACATTATTCCAGTTATAGGGGTTGGCTTTACGATACTCCCTGATTGATCCTTCTTGCCACAAGTCAAGTTAACTTTACACAAATCCTTATGCATAACTTCTAGTCATATTACCTCTACGTCATCCCTTTTGCTTCTTGATTCATCCAAATTAATTCTAACTACTTGTCTTATTAGTACTATCTCTACCTTCGATTACAAGCCCAAAACACCTGCATATATTCTATAGATCACCATTTCAATATGAATCAATTAAATCATCTTTCCAATACACTGCATCAGAAATCTTTCCATACTAATTCTGCCAAACATTTCTCAAAAACAAAATAGAAAAAAATTGTAGAAACTTGCCTACAATTAAAAAGAGACTTTCCTGGAATTCCTATGATTCAAGATGCCCAAAGGCACAATTTTTCTTTTTAAGGAATTAATTAGAAGGTAAGGCCCTCAAGTGCCATCTTATATACACCAAGGCGCTGGCACCCAGTATGTATTACATGCTAGCCAATATCTATGTTCAATGTTAAAACATGTGAATTTAAACATTTAAAAAAAAAAACCAAAGCGATTCTGATTTTAGCTTGAAAAAATGTGTGCAACAATGACAATCGTCATCAAATTTATTCCGATTATTCCTGAGAGCATTTTACCATTCATTCAAAATTACAAAGTATTACCAATGTAATAGGGATGTAAAACTAGAAAAAAAATGAAATTTAATTCTACATGAATTCCATGAGTGCATTCAAGAATCTCTACGTATGAACACAATCAGCAGTAAATTTACACATTAAAACTTTTACCGTTAGCACATGTTACGCAACCAAATACTTGCCCATAACATGATTAACATTCTCAGAGCTGCAACTTACAGCAGCGGACCAAATTAGCGGATGCTGTTTCAACGTTGTGCTAATACTTAATGCTGATATCATGCACGTGTGATGCTTCCATGTGATACGCCCAGCCCATGTGGGCTCCTTTTCCTGAAGTATAACCATGACAGGTTCTATGTACCCTGCATGAGAGGGTGGGATAGTAACCTTTATAGAATTATTCATGCAGAAGGTAAAATAAATAAGTAATAAGATCCATAAAAAATGTAAGAGTTTAGGCTACGGATTCATTGTAATATATCATTTGCATAGTGAAAGCAAATATTGAAACAGAACCGTGTAATTATATATAACAGAAGTGGTGTGAATCCTTGTTCAAAATTCATTCCTATATAATGCTCTATTTGGCATTCATTTAATTCCCCAAAATCTCCTTGAGCAACTTTTCTTTGTGGCTCATCCTAATCTTCCATTAGAAGTCCTTCGACATCAATTTTGCTCCTTAACACGAGTTTAGAAATTGTGAAATAGTGTTGAGGCAATTTTATACTATGAGATGGGCATAAACCTCAAGGCATCTTAAGGAGTTAGCCTCAGAATTAAACAATTTAATTGATGAAAAACATTAAATAATAGCATACTAGCATCAAATTAAGATATTAAAATAAGACTATAAAAATGGCCAAAATAAAAGAGATCGTCAAAATAAGACAACTAAAAATAATACAAGGCCGCAAGAAGTATTTAAAAAAAAAAAAACCCTCCATCCTGCTCCTAATTAAACATAAACAAGTTGTATAACTTCATAATTTATGATTGCTCTTCCCCATCATCCTCAATTGCATCAACATCCTTCCAATCTTTCCCTCATCTTCCTCATCTTCAATTCCAATCAATTTTCTCATTTCCAATCAGTAAAAAGTCAGTAAGAAAATTAATTAAATTTTAAAATAATAAATGTTTTAATTATTCTAACTTTTCTTAGAAAAATTTATATGAGGCGCGAGGGTCTTGCAATGAGCAACTGCGAATTTGAGGCCATACGATTCCTTTCAAGTTAATTGATTTAGATAATGTAGATAGATTTAGTTTTATATAAATTTATAATATAAAAGATAAATTACTGCTCTTTAAAATTGCGATGAGTCTCTCCCCCACTAATGTGCTCGCCTCATCTAGCAAAACATGAGGTGCACGACTCAATCCCTTTTTAACAATTGTTTTTAGGTGCACCTCTAGTTTTACAATTTTAAACCATGTTATAAAATATCGGTTTGTCCTTTCATCACCAATACAAAGGCCCAACACATTTGGACTATTAACCCATAGTAGTTTCAATAGACATATACAATGAAATGATCCCTATGCGTGCTAGACTTGGATACACTGGCCTTATAATATCAAAGAATGAGGATATGCAAAGAGTATAAAATTACCAAGATATTAGGTACAGATAGGTCTGACTAGAAAACAGAAGAATTTAAATAAGCAAAATAATAGTTCAATAGCAAGGATCCAAGATTTAGGCATGGTAAAAACCAAGTTGAATGTGGTAAAGCTAACAAGACAAGTTGGCATTGAAGAACTTAATAAGCATGAAAGGAAAAACGAATATATAATAAAGTGTAGAGCAATAATTATTGAACAAATATTGTTACAAACATATTTGGCTTTCATTTTCTATAATAGGTTTCGATTGTGTTATCACATAATTGCATGAAATAGTAATACTCAAATATAGATGGACAAAATACTCCATAAGCGTGTTTCCTACGATTATAAAGTTATAAATAGGTTGCATGCATGAGGCGGGTTTCAAAAATATATTCTAACAATAATAGCAGAGCACAAGAAAATATATATCTAAAAAAGTCTTAGGAACCATTTGGAAATGTTATGATGTGCTTTTTTAGGTTGCACTCAATTAAAATTGTCACCACTACTTTCACAAAGACCGACGAGTTGCTCCCTATAGAATTCAATGATCATAGAGCAATGGATGGAATGCACATTATGTTCTACAAGAAAACAGAATTGTGGAATTGCATGGTTTTGAGAAGAAAACATATTATCAAGAAATGTTGCAGGTGTTTCGGGCATGCATAACTAGAGAAAAATGCACAAAGTTTTTAACCATAAGAAAAAGGTTTTGATAAAAAATAAAGTTCACAAAAAAAAGCAAAAATAATACAATATAGTTTTACATGGAAATAAACGCACAATAAATAGGATACATAATATGAAAAACTCACATTTATAAAGAAAACGAGTCTTTTAGCACCAGAAAAAAAAAAGACAAAACCAAACAACAAGCATGTAACATATGCAGATAGTAAGAACTCAGTTTTTAAACAATTTTATACTACAACTATTAAAGTCAAATACATCTTAAATATATTTTATATTAATTTTTTTTTAAATGAGCTAGTTTGCAAACTAATTAATTGAGTTAGGTCCCATTCAAGCTTTTGGCTTGTTTTCAAGCCTAAGCCAATCAGCCTATGACAGCATGACTCACTTTTTTTTTTCTATGGAAAGATGCGCCAAAACACAGCATGTGTGATTAGAACCCGTGACCTCACGGTAGAAAACTAAATTCTCAACCACTATGTTGCGAGTAAGTGCAGACAAATTGACTCAATTGTTCCCCAGTTTTAATTTCAATAAAATTTACTATAAATAAGAGATGAGGTATTTTAATATTTTAACACAATATTTTGAATTAGTTATTGAATTTTCATTCAACTAATTATATCCAATAATAATTTCTAAAAAAAACAAAATGAAAACTTATTTTTGTTTCTTTTCATTTACACAAAAATATTATCTTTTCACTATTAAACTATAAAATATTCAAGTAAGAAAATATCAGTTTGAATAATTTTTAATAAAATAAATTTTTTTTTATTAATATCGAGATAATATAAATATTGACTAATTATTCAACTAATTTATTCATCTGAAAATAAATTAACAAACCTTAAAATCAATTCCGGCAAACTTTTAATAAATATTATGATTCAATTTTTAATATCCTTTAATTGTGATTGAACCCTTCTCACATAATTTATATCTATACAAGCCATTTATATTGTTAAAATAAATTGTGACCTAGTACTACAGAAGTAGGTTAGTGGAACGATTAGGTTAACGTACACTACTTTAGAAGAATAAAAATATTATTGCTAGAGTAGTGCAACCTCATAGAGAAATACAGAAACATGAGAGTAAATTACTTACAATGAGTAAAGAAACAGAACAACATACCATGAACAAATGTAAAATCTTTCACATGCTTCATGTCTAAATCTCGTAAGTTTATTATGTAAGAAGACTCAATGCGAACAGCAGCACCTGCACCTATATTTGAAGGTTCATCATCTACAGCTAATCCTTGTCCTGCCTGTTGACAAAATAAATTAGTTGTCGAGCACAAGCAAACTGAAATTTTCAATAGAAAAAATTCAAATTATACCTGATAACTATTACAAACTTAAATTACATAAAATACAAAACAAACTAAAAAAATCTGGGAAATCAATGGCGAATGTTCGCCTCAAAAATAAAGTTATAAGAAAATTTACAAATCAATAAAGCCCAGGCACCAATCAATTATGAAATACACCACATCTTCAAACCGCAGAGAAAAGCAATGCTTGGTCATAGTTGGAATAGAAGCAAATCACACCTTGTAATTGAGACAAAAGGTTGCTCGAAATTACTAATTGATGGCAAAAAAATTGCAAAAACTATACAGAATCAAATCAAAAAAATACATAAAGATTGCAATATAATCTGAATTGGCTGTACATCTAATCCCTATATAGTTAACAATAGGTGTGGCAAACAATTGTTTCATTACAGGACGTACTTTAGACAGCCTTCAAAAAGCATCTAGGTGATGCACAAGAAGTAACCAAAATATCACCAAAATCCCCAATTTCATAACAAATTGCATTATGTAAAAACCTACCTCTGACAAAGGAATATGGTTATAAATCCATAATTAATTCACTGTTTGAAATCTACATTTAACCATCTTAATTGACAAACTTTCAAAAAACATACAACAACAAGCCTTTATCCCACAAAGTTGGGTCAGCTATATGAATCATTTTTCTCTGTTGTGCCTATTGAGTGTCATATTATCATTTAATTTTAATAAATTAGGATCATTTTTTATACGACAGCTCAGGTCTTTTTAGGTCTACCTCCACCTTTCTTAACATGAATTGAATCTAAAACATCCAAAAGAATGATAACTAAAAAGATGAAATCCAAGAAAACTATTAATATAACTGGACCAAAAAATTACATTTAAAGTTACTTGGTACCTTGCAAGGGAGTTTCCATCCGGGGTTAGTCATATAGGTTTTAAACACCTTGCAAAACTAGTAGTAGATTCTATTAAAAGACAAATGTAATGAGAAAGGTGAGTTTGAGTGAAGCAGACAGCATGGACACATTCACAAAGCAATATATAAATTGCATGGCAAAACATTGAGTTACACCACATAACTGTTAGTTCAGGAAATTTAGTCAGATCCATCTAGTTTCTAGCAAGTTGTGAACTATACTACTTAAAATTAAGCGTAACAAACAGAACAGAAAGCATACATGTAGTTGCACGGCCATGCATTTATGCCAAGTAGATTCAAGAAAAAATTGAAATACAACTAAAGAAATCCAACGCACCTGAGCAGCCGTCATAATAACCATCTGAAGACCGTACACAAGTGCACCAGCACAACGGCCCATAGGATCAACCTTCATGGTAGGACCACTTGAAAATGACTCTCTTCCTCTTTTCAAGTAATGCCAATCTGGCCCCTCAAAACAGTGCATGGAACTGCAAGATAATAAAAACTTAAAAAGTTACAAACGCAAAACTTCCAAATTTTCAAACATTGATCCATTTTGACCCAGCATGATGATAATATGAAAATAGTCAATCAGGCATCTTCCTACCTAGTGCGCAATTCGTGGGCTGAATCATCGAATTCTAGCACCGTTATCTTTGCATCTTTGAATGACAACAAAATTGAATCTCTCCTTCTGCTACGTTCGTCTCCTCCGGAAGATAAGACCACCATTGATTCAATGTTTCCATGCAATCTAAATGCACAAAATAGAAAGAACATAACCCAGCTTTTTAATTAAAAAAGAAGAAAATGGAAATTTTCTTATAAATATGAAGCTTTCAATATAAACATATCAGCAATAAGACTTGTGATATGCTCCATCAGAATGTGGAGCTGCTACCTACATCACAGTAAACTAACAAGCTTGTTCTGAAACATTGCTAAAAGCTTTTAAGGCCATGGTTAGCCAAGTTTTTGTGAAAAGGCACAAATAATCTGCAGCATAGAGTTGTGCAGGGGCTGTTTGGTTGAGTGAATGCGGTGTATTGTAACTCTTTTGTGAGGATTTGAGAAAATGATGTGTTTGGTATGAAGAATTAAAAATACAATATAAATTATGAATGAATATAAAGTTTAGACGAAAGTTCATATTGGCTCAATTTAGAATTAAGCCAATTTGTCCGAATTTGAATTACACTATTCATGTAAAAAGCTATCAACAAGCCGCACCCCCCGTCGACCGTCTATCGGCAGGGCGCGGGCTCCGCCGACTGCTGGCCACCGCTGCAATTTGCCTCCCCCGCTAGCCGCCGCCGCCTCCACCACAACCACCCACCATCCTCTGGCCAGCCCACCGCTTTCAGCCTCATGCCCACCCACCGCCAAGACTGAATAAAAAATATATTTTAAAAAGCATTATCTTCAATTAGTTTCAGACCAAACAAAAAAATACAAAGTCCTATGTTTATTTTACAATAAACCAAGTCACACGAAAGTATTTCAAATACATTGTAATCATAATACTCTACAAATCTTTTACATTGAATTTCATTTTCAGCAAACCAAACAACCCCATAATCAATGTCATGTCAACTCTAGGATTGAAAAGGATCCTCAAAATTTGCTCAAAGTTAGAACATATGTAAGCAGGCTTCAAACTAGCTATCAGAAACCAAGTCAATTTTAAATGAGTTCAAAATCAATTTGTTTCTATTTTTTTTATCGTGTTTAATGCACATACAAAAGCAAAAGTACATAAGACAAATATTTTTTTTTAATTAAACGTTCTTTTAATTTAAATGTCGCCTTTCAGAATCATTAAAATTAATCAAATTTTATACTCTAAATCATAATTATTTACCTTTTAAGTAATTTTAATTAGTTGAGATTAAATACTTAGTTATATTTTGCTAAGAGTTTTTTAATTTAATACTCCAGCAAAAAAAATTTAGCATAATATTAATTACATATGTTTTAAATATTTAAAATAGTGTTGCATGCATTTGAATACTTGAAAAATAAAAAGATAAATGACAGAAACATATTAAATCATTTATAATATAATAATGAAGCAATGTATCATAATGATAATAAATTAAATTCATATTGTAAAATAAATTATAAGTTTTTGCACCAAAACACACAGTGTAGTAAATTAAAAATAAAAATGAAAAATGTTCTCAAATGAATTGCTCATCATTCCAAAATAATCCCATGGTATGGATAAGCTCCATATAAAGTTTAGATACAATACAACTCTAATTTACAAGTATGTCAATTTTACAAATTAAAATTATTATTGGTAAACTTCCAAGTCTTTGAATACATCGTACTTGCATAATATACATATAATACAATCATAAAATAAATTTTATGCTTTGAATTCTAATTTTTTAAATCCTATGTAAACTTTAGGGGTTTTCTGGCTACAATTAGGGTCCGTTTGGGGCGTAGTTTTTTTCAAGGCGCGGTAGGCCGCTACGCGTATTCGTCGTTTGGGGCGGAGTTTTGATCTCGGCGGCCGCGCCGTTTAGCAAAACGCGGGCCACAGGGTCGACTTCGCAGCCCGCATTTCTTATATTTTTTACCCGCTTGCCCCTAGTTCCAACTGTGCGTTCATCTTCTGCATTTTCCTTTCCAGCGGAGCTTCAGCTTCCTATGCCCTACCCGTCGTGTTGAACACCATCTTCTTCCGATATCCCCTCTTATATATTTCTTGAGATATTTTGTTTCTCCCGGATTTGCACCGTAAGAATTTGGCTGTGGTTTTTTGGTTTGATGTTTTTATCTGGTGATGGTCCTCTAGTTTCATGTGGTGGATTTGTTTGTGGTTTTCTTCTTTCGTGCTCCTGTTTTGCAAAACTTATGCTTAGAAAAGCATATTTTTCAATCACACACAATCTATGAAGTAAGACAATGAAATAGTTAGTCTCGGACAATTACTGTGAAAGCATATCATGCATAGCTACTGATACCCCAAAGAACATATAATGAGAAATTATTGTGAGAAAGGGCAACATGATACCCCAAAGGTCATATAATGAGAAATTATTGTGAGAAATGGCAACAGATCATCTTTCCCATCATTTTTATGCTCACTGTTAAGAAAAATATGTAGAATTTTATGTTTTGTTACAGAAATTTAGTAGTAATACCATTTGAAACATTCTTATGATAAGGAAAACATATTTTTCAATCACACACACTCTGAAGTGAGACAGAGAAATAGATAGCCTCAAACAATTATTGTGAAAGCATATCATGCATAGCTACTGATACTCTTTGGGCATATAATGAAAAATTATTGTAAGAAAACACAACAAATCATCTTTGTCGTCATTTTTATGCTCACTGTTAGGAAACATATGTAGAATTTCATGTTTATTATTGAAATTCAATAGTAATACCACTTGGAGCGTTTTTTCTGACAAGAAAAGCATATTTTTCAATCATACGCACACTCTGAAGTGAGGCATGAAAATAGATAGCCTCAAAATATGACTATGAAAGCATATCATGCATAGCTACTGATATATATAATAAGAAAATATTGGGAGAAAAGGCAACATATCATATTTGTCATCATATTTATGTTACTGCTACGAAACATAAGTAGAATTTCATGCTTTGTTACTGAAATTCAAGGCTAATACCACTTGGGGTAATCTTAAGACAATAAAAGCATATTTTTTAATCGCATACACACTCTGAAGTGAGATAAGAAAAAATATATTCATAGACAATTACTGTGAAAGCATATCATACAAAACTATTGATAACCCTTGAGCATATGATGAGAAATTATTGTGAGAAAGAGCGATAGATCATCTTTTCCAACATTTTAATGCTCATTGTTAAGAAACATATGTAGAATTTCATGTTTTGTTACTAAAATTTAGTAGTAATACCACTTAAAGCATTCCTATGACAAGAAAAGCATATTTTTCAATCACACACGCACTCTGAAGTGAGGAAGAGAAATAAATAGCCTCAAAATATGACCGTGAAAGCATATCATACATAGCTACTGCTACTACTTGGGGCATATAATGAGAAAATATTGAGAGAAAGAGCAACATATCATCTTTTTCATCATGTTTATGCTCACTGCCAGAAAACATATGTAGAATTTCATGTTTTGTTACTGAACTTCAGGACTAATACCACTTGGGTCACTCTTAGGACAAGGAAAACATATTTTTCAATCACACACAAAATCTATGAAGTGAGATAGTAAAATAAATAGCCTCAGACAATTATTGTGAAAACATATCATACATGGCTACGAATACCCCTTAAGCATATAATGAAAAATTATTATGATAAAGGACAGCAGATCACCTTCGTCATCATTTTTATGCTCACTATTAGAAAACATATGAAAATATGGTATGTTTGAACATGCTCAACCAAACTTATTTTTTAAAATTTATTATTAGAAAAATATATTTTTCAATCACACGCACTCCGTAGTGAGGCAGTGAAATAGATAGCCTCAGAAAATTACTGTGAAAGCATATTATGCATAGCTCCTGATATCTTTTGGGGTAACATAATGAGAAAATATTGTAAAGAAAGGCAACAGAGCTTCTTTTTTATGAGAAGAAAAGCATATTTTTCAATCACACACACTCTGAAGTGAGACGGTGAAATAGATAGCCTCAAAAAGCTACGTTGACAATATATTATGCATAGCTACTGATACCCCTTAGGGCATATATATTGTCAGAAAGGACAACAGAACATCATTATATTAATTGTAATCTTAATAGTTGTTAACCTTTTTGATACTCTAGGTACTCGCTCTTAAGTAAGGTGTGTATCTAAACTTTTGTACTGTTCTGAATTAAATTTTTGTTTCTTAAGTTTCGAATATATAGCTATGACAGTTTTGTTATGAATAACATTACTAAATAGGAGCAAAAAGATCATTTATTCAGAAATAGCTGTCACAGTTATTTTCAAATAGTTGAAACAAACAGTCAGTCAGTTTCTCAGCTGATATGACAGTTATATTATAAACAACATTACTAAACAGATGCAGAATGATCATTTGTTCAGAAACAGCTCTCACATAGTTGTTTTCAAACAGCTGAAACAAACAGTCAGTCAGTATCCCAGCTGCAGCTTTCCCGCAGCAGCTTCTTAGGGCAGCTAAGCTGGAGCTACCCCAAACAGACCCTTAGAGTTTAGTAAGCTCAATCAATTTAAAATTAGTAAATCCTATGAGTGTTAAATCTTGAAAATTATTTTGCACAACAGATGTTAAATCTAATTAAATCTTAATATATTGTTTGGTTGATAATTTAAAATTTTAAGAGTTAAGTAAATAGAGGGGTTAAATGTTTATACGAAATTTTGTTTTAAAAAATAATTAAAATAATAATTAATAATGATTTTTTATTAAAAATAATTACATTTAATTAAAAAGAAATAACTATTTCAATAATTAAACTAAATAACAATTAATCAAAGATAAAATTAAGAGCATTAAAAATTTAATAATGTTCTTATGATAATTAGACATAAAATAATTAACAAATGATTTATGTGCACAATTAATTAAAAAAATTAGTTTTTTAAACTTAAATATAATTTAATTTAATTCTTAGTTAAAAATAATTAATTTTTTTTAAGTTTTAATTACATAATTACACTTACAGGCATAATAAAAAGGATAAGTTATTAGAATAAATAGAAAAACCTATACTTCTCCTTGCACCTACCCTTTTAGGAAATCATAATGGCAGTTTACTGAGGAAAGCCATTAATGAGACCGATGATTTGTGAAGGAGAAAAGGTACTAGCAACGAAAGATCACTGGAGGAAGGCATCGACAAGACTGAGAGTGTGTGAAAGAGAAGAGGAGTTTTGAGTGGGGATTTTTTTTGGCAAAGGTATCAACAGAATAAACAATGGACAAAGAAGAGGAGTTCATGGCTTAGGCTTACTGGAAAAAGAGATGCAGCGGATTTAAGTTAAATATGTTGAACTGTGTGATTTAATAAAGTATGAATTTAAAGATAATTAGTGGTGAAATGGGATTTATTTACTATAGGCTTCAAAGTTGTATTTTTAATTCTGCTGAAGGATGTAAGCTAAATTTTCCCCAATTCCGACAATCAAACAGCCCATTAAAAAATCAAAGATAATATAATTCTAGTAGAAATTAATGAACAGTTGAGGTTATTTTATAAAATTAATAGTTTAGGAGTATAGATTGTTACAGTTTCGTGTTTATTTATCATTTGTTGGGTACCACAATTTACAATTTATTTCTTGAGCTTAGTTTTATCCAAGCTGTTTTAAAAAAATAAAAAAGATGTAAATTTTTTTATATCAGCAAGGCTCATTTAGCTCAATTCGATTGAGCCAAAAACTAATGTGATCTTCTAACAAAACTCTCATCCCTAATCAAGTCGATTTTCTGCAGGACAACCAGCCTTGAAAATAAATACTAAACCCTGTAGCATGAATTCCCTACTAGCCTCTTGAAGAAAAGAAATCATGACAACACTGAAAGAAAAATGAAATTAATAGGAAGCCAAGCACCTGTAATGGCAAGCAAGTTCAAGGCGAGCACCAGAGAGGCCATCCATGACGGTTCCGTTCCGCGGCTCGCTGGAAACCTGTGAGGATCTGCCATCGTCTTCTTGAACCCTAACAGTGTAGAGCTCGAGGACGTTGGCGGCGGTAACGACGACATTAGGTACGGGACCGATCCCCCTCTTCGCTGGCCACTCCGAATCGAGATCGACGGCCTGGATGGGCGGGATTTGAGCAGTTAACTCCGCTGGGGAGTAAGTGATGAATCCGGAGGCACAGTTCTCGATACCTGTGGCCCAGTGCATAATCTTGAAGGCTGCGTAGCTCATTCTGGCTGGAAGTTTTAAGGTTTTCCCTAGGGTTTTGGAAAGAGATAGGTGTAGAAGAGTGGAAAAAAAGAGTAAGATATGGATTGCCTGAGTTGTGGGATTTGCAAAGATCGAGTAGCCAGCGGGTGGGATGGTTGCCGTTAGGGCTAGAAGGAGCTGTGGCGGGAGAGTATGGGCTTTATCGCTAATAGCGAAATCAGAGACAGGGACAGCTTGGTTTTGAGGTTTAGCAAAAAGATACTTGAGCTAAATTTTGTGTGATTTTATGGGAAAAAAATTGCGTAAGTCAATCGTATTTAGAGATGTGTACCTAACATGATACACGGGGCATTATACGGGGGTTACATGGGGGTTAGAAGCATGTTATAACTTTCTTGTAACTTTCGTGTAACTCATCTGTAACTCGGGCTTTTATTTTATACATTGGGGTTACAAGATTACAGCGGGATTACACGGGAGTTACACGGGAGGTACAACGGGGTTATAACCCCTTGTAATCCTTGTGTAACCCCCATGTACCCTTTTACGTACGTAACTCTTGCGTACGCTTGATGTACGCAATTTTTTCTGATTTTATGGTTTTAAAAATCGTTCGACTTGAATTTAACATCTATCTGGTTCAATCCATGCTCATAATCATTTTTGCAATGAACCGCGATTGAAATGTTCAAAGCTACAATTGCTGGAACACAAATGAGCAGATCTGATTTTTGAACAGCGAGTCGATTCAAATAATATTCAATTTTAGTCATTTGATTTTGATGGGATGGCCAAAAAATAAATTATTAAAGTAAAAAAAGATAAAATATCATGTTTTAATATTTTTTATTTAAAATATTGTTCAAAATATCCAAAAATGATGTCTTAAATTAAAATTTTATTTGGTGAATCAATAAAAATAATATTAATATATCATTATTATATTACTTAAATTATATTAAAATAATTAATATATTTATTATGTCAAAAGGTTTAACCTCGATTGATCCATTCAACCTTGAATTTTTGTCTCTTTCAATTCGACTTTTGGTTTGGCTTTCACAACCTTCGTATTTACCCGCTTTCTTAACTCGCACTTTTCATCCATTGTAGATAAACTTTGAATTTTATTGATCTTAGAATAAATTATGTATAAAAAATTATTGAAGTCTTAATTGTGTTTCTTCTTTCTATTTCAGAATTAACTTTTAAAAATATCTACTAATTAACTTGTTAAAAATATAGCCCTTTCATATCAATCATATTGTTGAATACATATTTGTCCTGTGAAACATGCTCAATGATTAGAGCCGTAGAAATAAGAGAAGACAAAAAGAGAGAGACGGACAAGGAGAAAGAGAAAAAAAGAGTAAACACGGACTAGTCTCGTAAGAGCAAAACTGTCATATTCTAGAATTCTGTTATCCATTTTATATATGGAAAATAAAGATTGAAAGAGAGAATGAGAGAGAATTTTCCTCGTACAGTATGGGTCCAGTAAGATCTAAAATCCTAAAGGCCAAAAGGACAGAGACAAAAAGCTCTTGATACATGATATGGACCCCCTATTTCTAGGAGATAGAAGTTTAAACATGCAAAATTACATGCTTGTGTCTGTTTTAATAGGAGCGCTACGGGATATTATTGCCTTTTTTTCATATTAAAGCCTATTGTGTGGCAGCTCCCTTTGGTTGTCTGTCAGACCTTTGGTGTCATGGGATCTCTTTAGGATCAGCATAAGCACATTTTTAATGTACGCATATCAAATAATTGTTAATATCTAATGTTTAAAAAAAAAAAAATTATCCTTCTTAATCTGCAACATTATACCAACATAATTAACATACTTTTCATTTAGCCAAATATACCATAAATATTCACAATTGTGCAAACTTTAAGCCGCGGTGAAGTATTTGCATGATTTTTAATGCAATCCAAAAAATTAGATTTATAATTTAATTGTAATGGTATTGTTTGAATGTTTTAATATGCTTATATAAAAATATTAGTGACATGAATTGAGGATGGTCTTTGTAATTTTTTTCTTACAATTACTTTTTGTTAGAATTTTTGGTTGATTATAGACTTTTGAATAAGTAATTCAACCCCTTAGACGATCAAATTCAATAAATTGTGTAATTTTTTGCTCCAATTTTTATGTTGATATCCTTATGATGAATAATTAAATATATTTAAGTAAAAATATTAGATAGCATGAATTAATTAGAGAAGGTGTGCAAATTACTTTCATAAAATGTTTTGTTAATGGCAGACTTTTGAACAAGCCTTTCATCCATGTAATAAGTTTACTAAATTTTTTTGAGGATTTTTGGTTCACTTTGTAGAACCTCAATCAAGCATGCGCACTTAATAGCTTTTTAAGAGAGGATAACATCGCACTCTTTCTTAAGAAAACTATGATGATTGATGGTTTAATTATGGGTTATCGGAGTAATTACCAAATTATGAATATTATAAAATTTAGATTCACACTATCGAGAAAGATACTTGACAAATGTTATCCTTTAGAGGAGGGAGAAACATTAAGTTTCACACATATGAGTAAAGGAATATTTGCTAAAAAAAACACACACTTCTTTTTGTGCTTATCAGAATCGTTCTCCACACATACGTGCAACGTGTGTAATATTTCTTCCTAAAGGAGACTTAGTTTTTGCTCTTTATATCATTTTTTTAGACAACACCATTCTAATATACATGAATAATAAGAATAGATCTAGTCAGACTTACCTGCTCAATTGCCTTCCCCATCAACATTGGTTATATAATTTCTTCATACTGTTGTTGTACAGCCATATTGAGTTTATTATTGCCTACTTTTATTGAGGTTGTTGTCGTATTCCTATATTTAGAATGTTGTTGTCTTTTGATTGTTGTTACCTGCTCATTATTTAAGTTATTTTTGTCTTCATATTGCTACATTATACTCATACTAAGGTTATTATTGCCTATTTTTTTTAGGTTATTGTTGCCTTTAGGTTGTTGTTTTTTAAATGGGATAAATAATACCCACAATGAATATGATTTTAGTTTTCCATTGGAAGAAGTATTGGTCATGTTGTCTTATTTAGGTATACATGATCTTTAGCTTGATATTAATGATATTAATGATGCCAATAGCTTTGAGAAAGTAGAACAATCTTATTGGAAGATATAGATGATGATTTTGGTGCTATTAAAATGAACTGTAGTCGATATATATATTTCATTCTTTTTATAAACTTCACAGAGAAAGAGATGTTTTGATAGAAGTCGAGGAGAATTTGAAGGCCATAAGAGATCCCAAAGAATTTATGGTGAAGATATTGCATAGTGTGGTGAACTCATGTAGATCCAATAAATTTCTGTATTACTTCAAGATAAGATCCCTTTTGCATGTATAAGCTCGATAAAGTTCATGATGTTGATACTTAGCAAACTCTTGATCTTCATATAAAAGTGTTGATGTCTTATAACTTGACTCCATAGAAGTCATAATAATTATAAGTCTGGTTAGAAATTCAATATATTGTACTTGAGATATCGTCCCCTCAGTGAAGTATAATGATATCAAATTTTTCGAAAGTTTATGCCTTTTAAGTTTTTAAATAAATATTTAACTTCTTGAATAAGTAAAATCCTACAATCAAAGTTAGCACATTATCTTTGTATGAAGAAATATTATGTATCTTTTGAAGCTTTTGTCTTATAAAGTTTTTAATATATTATAAATTATGCAGCTTAAATTTTATGAGATTTTGTAAGTGTACCTACACTGTTTGAAGCTTGTAGCTTTCTGATATTTTTTGAATGTAACTGTATCTTATGAGACTTATAGACTTTTTAAAATTTTGTTTATCAGAAGTACTGTCAACCACTTGTTCTATAGAGTCTTTCAAATAAGGAACCTATCCACTAATAACTTCCCATTGGTGATATCTATCGACTTGACTTCCAGGGGTATAAATGGAGAATGGGTCTACCATTTCCCATTAATGGATATGTCTAGTAAGGATTATGTCCACTACTATTTTTCTCTCGATAATACCTCATATGTGTGACTTCTAAGAGTATAAGTGGAGGCTAAGTCTATCACTTACACTCAATTGATCTTTCTAGTGAAAATTGTGTCCACTACTAAATTCCAACAATACTGCCTCACGAGCATGTCTTCCAGGGGTATAGGTGGAGACTGTGTCTACCACTTTCATTCCACTGCTAGCTTCATATCACGACTACCCTATGAGCATTTCTTCCAGGAGAGATTGTGCATGTCGCCGGACCTCAAAAGATCTTTATTGTGACGATTGTATCTAGTACCAACTTCCAATCAAGACTAACACATAGGTGTGTCTTCCAGAGGTAGAAGTAGAGACCGATCTATCACTTCTTAAGGTATCTTTCTAATGAGGGTCATGTACACTATTAACTTTTCATCAAGACTACCTCATTGGTGTGTCTTTTATGGGTATAAGTGGAGAGTGTGTTAGTCACTTGCCCACAAGAGATCTTTCTAGTGAGAATCATGTCAATTACTCATTTTTCATTGAGACTATCTCATGTGCTTCTCTTCTAGAAGTATAACTAGAGACAATGTCAACCACTAAGAATGTTATATTTATCTCAAGTTATTTGTCATAGTGTTACTCGACTACATTAACTCGTATAAAAGAGGTCGAAGAAATCCCTTGAAGATGTTAGACTATTTAAGGTTATTTGTCGGAGTACGACTCGATAACATTAACATGGGTGGAAGATGCCATGACTAATACACTAATAGGAGCATTTGATCGGTTCAGATGAATCAGTTTACAAATTTGTCAAATCGATTGCAACAGAAATCCAAAATCAAATAAAAAAAAAATCAAAATTTTGTAATACTGGATCAAGCAAACTGACGATTCACTTTCAATGAATCAATTATGAATAAACAAAAATTAAATTAATTGTTAAAGTTAAATTATGAATATATATTTTGATTTGCATGTTTTAATTGTATAATATTAATTTGATTTCATGAATCCTCCATTTATTTTAATCAAATGTTACATATAAGATAATCTTTGGTTTTTTTTTTTCAAGAAATTAAAATATAGGATACATATCATCGCTTAATTCCCATGTATTTACATTTCTAACACACTTCATTTTTTTATTAATGTTAGATTACCTACTCATGGAAATGTGTATTCCATTTTTTAAAAGATAAAATGGTGGTATTTTTAATGAGATATGAA